TCTATACATAAAATGTACCACAATTGCCTCACAGAAACATATTAATTTTAATGTTTCTAAAATTATGTATCTGAAAAATTGATAATTATTCCCCATTGAAAAGATGGAGTCTTATTACTGTAAGCTACACCGCAACTCACCTTTAATAAGATTAGATATTACCTTAAGTTTGTATCATAATACGGATGAGATTTTCAACATTTCAGTCATGAAAATTTCACATTAAGCTACCCAGGAATTTCATGCAGGGGATTGTCTGTTTGTGTTCGAGTTTTACTATGTTTAACAAGTCATAAATTGGTGAGGAGAGGGAAATATGTCACATCTCTGTAACATTTAGAAGAACTGTCATGTGTAGGTGGGGGGGGGGGTCCAAAAGGGATGGGATGAGGCCATCATGAGGGGGTCAAAAATGTCCCTTCTGAGTAAAAATGTGAACTAGGTTTAAAGCCATTTCTCCTGTTGGGTCAACTAAGAGAGTTAAAGGTCCACATTTTCTGCAAAAGAAACCCCACCCCCATTCGCATTGCTGACTACAGCCCAGTAATATAAAGTGTCATTGTCATCAGCAGACTGATGGAATGTCTTTGAAGTGATATGAACTTACAGTGAACTTAGATGCCCACAGCTGGAGTATGGCATGTCTGATATGATGTAGAAATGTTCAGTTGATGAATGGTCTGTTGTTATTAGTGCAGAAGATAAGTAGCTGGACTCCTGTATAAGTATGTTAATTCAGCCCCCCTCCCCCCCAAACTGCCTGTCTCTCACTCTTTCTTGACTTATGGCCCATGGAAACCTGAGTGTCTATTTGCTCTCTCTCTCTCTCTCTCAGACACATACAGTACACACAAATACACAGACACATGCCCTAGCTTTCTCTCTTTCTCTCTCTCTCTCTCATATTCCTCTCTCTCTCTCTCTCTCTCTCTCTCTCTCTCTTTATTTCTCTCTCTATCTTATATCCCCTCTCTCTCTCATACCAATACATACCCATACACAGAAAGACATACAGAATTATATTTGCAACAGTGTTAATAGAAAAAGGAAAGTAAAAAAAGGCTCTTGAAAATTAACAGTGCAGCACACCCAACCAGACAGGAATGGTAATTAACCACATAGTGCTGATATTTGTTTTGTCTAAGCACAGCTCTGGTATGTGAAGTGGGGTTCACCACACAGCTCTGAGTCCCCCCTCACTCTCCCACTACAGCAAATACAGTCTCTGTTGATATAGTACTGCTGGATGGATACCAAGGGGCCGTATCACAAGAGACATATATTTGCCCAAAAATTGGTTTAAATATTATGTCAGTAGATGCAAGTCAAAGGGTGCTTTCCCAGAGATTTAGATCGATCTAGAGATTAAGATTTAGATCGACCTAACTCCCTGGGGGTTCACGCTAAATTGCAGTCAGCCAAGCGGGCACCAGAGTTAATTACCCCCTTACAGCTTTTAGTAGGCAGGACAGATGCTTAAGCCGGCCAAGCTGACAGTAATCAAGTGAGACTCCCCACAGGGATAGATCGATCTAAGAATCTATGGAAATGGGGTGAAATTGTGTATACTGGTATTTTGTTTTGTCCAGTTTTAGTTAAAAACAATTAAACTATTTAGGAAAGGAGAAATTTTATTTAAATAGATCACATATTTGACAGAATGTACAGATGTTATGACTTCGGACATTTCGTCTCTCTCACAAAGATTTCTACAAGGAACAAATTGTCACTGTTAATTGTCATATGACAGACAACAGAAAATTGTCCACCATGAGTTTTATTCTGAAACATTAGTCATGATTGTCCTCATATAAAATGGATAGATTACTTCATGTAATAAAACTAATACTGTTTTAAGCTTGACATTAACTTAGGTCAAAATATATATTGAAGTAGTGGTCTAAAAGTTAGACAAATTTTTAGGCTGACAATCTTCTGTGAAACATTTACCCCAGAACTATACATATTTTTTGCCCCAGGCCAATTTCTAGATCAAATATTCTCTACCATTTCTTTATTGTAAAGGCTGAGTACAGACATGTTTTCCTTTCTATTTGTTTTGCAAGCTCTACCTTTATTTGTTGAAGTATCAGTTTGTTGAATGGAGTCACTTGATGATTGTGAGAACACTGTTTACTTCTCATAAAAAGTGACTGAAATGAATTACATAAGTTGTATTGGGTGCAGTGCATGTACATGGAAAAGATTTATTCCTCAAACTGAAATAATATTTGAGTACTAGTACTAGTAAATGAACGAGAAGACATACAGTCAGGAAGGCAGACAGACAGACAGTAGAATGTGTCAATTTACTTGATAAACTTCTCCCTGACAACTGATAACAGATAATATATACACATTCTATAAATGCCACACTGAATGAGCAGCAAAAATTACCCTATTATACTATGATCAGTGTATTGATATGCTCAGTATGATGTATGTAAATATGACTGCTATAGACATCTAACAACATGATGTGATATCACAGACAGTGAACTCTAAAATTATCTATAATGCACCAGGAGCAGCTTCTGCTACTGCATGCTGAGTGAGATGCCTGTGGTATTTCTCTTTCCACCATCTTGTTTTGCCTTGAGCTCTTTTATGCACTATTAAATGAATAATGCAGGTTCTTTTCACATCTAGTGATACAGTTTTCTGTTTTGCACCAGTTAGATAAACTGACAATTTAATTCCCTGGTTAAAACATATTTAACCACCCACTCCCCCTGTGTTCTCCCCTTTGCTAGTACACAGCCAGTTCAATGGATGAATTTTTATTCATGCACTGAGGCTTGTGAAAGAGCGTAATACAACCCATAGAGTGTTAGGACCAGTCAAACTGCACTGCTTCGTGTGAAAAGCAGCTCTACACTGTGGGATACCCGTCTTATTAATTTTTTTTCCTACCTACCTTTTTTTCTATTTGCAGTACATTCAATGCATGTGAAGATATATGTGTGCCATATAAAAAAATGGGAAAAAATATGAATATTAGATGTTCTTTAGTTTAGTTTCTATGTGTAGTTTAGTTGATATTGGATATTGGGAAATTATTGCTACCGCCACATAATTTACTATTTGTAAATAAGTTTATTTCTTCACATCAGTTACAGTATACCACTTCTAAGTTGTGTCCATTCTTCTTCCCTGCAGGTGACATCTACGTACCAGCCCTGTGGCAAGCACCTGTTCTAAATAATGGCCAAAAGTTTCCTGTGATTGTCTTTTCTCATGGTCTTGGTGGTAATAGGACTACGTATACTACGCTGTGTAGTGATCTCGCCTCACAGGGCTTTGTAGTAGCCGCCATAGAACACAGGTGAGTTTGGAATGATGGATGAATTTTTCACTGGAGGGTTACTCTCTATAGCATAGGTCTTCTAGGGGTTACAGAAATTGTATACAAGGCTTTTGTACAATTTTGTATTTGCTAGAAGATCTGAGGTAGAGTGTATTATGGGGTCATACAAAAAGTAACATTTTTCATATCACATGGCACTTACATTTTCCATGTATAATTTTTATTCACTTTTTGGCATGTGTGCATTTTTCATCTCAGTTATATTATTTAATATTTGCATAACCCAAGCTCTTCACCAGCCACTTTCAAGATAATTTTTGGATAAAAAAATTTAAATAAATGTTTAACATCTTGTGAGCAGTGGTGGGATATAAATACTCCAGAAAAGTTTGGTGATGGAATAATAGTAAATGTGCTGAAATAATAATAATAATAACAGTGACAATAATAATCATAATAAGACAATATTAATAATAATCAGTGAATGAATAAAAAAAAAAGTAAAAAGAAAAATGAAACATATTCTATATTGTTGACATACATACACTCTGTATAAATACATTTATTCCAGAGACGGCTCTGCCTCCATGACCTTTGTGCTCAAATTAATAGAAGAACACCTCCACCACAACCACAAGAACCACCACCACCGCCTCCACAGGGATCACAGCTTCACTGAGGAGTGGGTGAAATATGAGAGACAGGAGAAAGAAGATGATTTCCATATCAGAAATAAACAGGTACTTGTAAGAAATGCAAAGTGAAAGTAACTTGTGTAAGGAAAGAAGGAAAAGATTAGATAAAAACTGAAAGTACCTTTAGCTTCACTGAGGTGTGAGTGAAATATGAGAGACAGGAGAAAGAAGATGATTACTATATCAGAAATAAACAGGTACTTGTAAGAAATGCAAAGTGAAAGTAACTCAGGTAAGAAAAAGTAGATAAAATGTGAAAGCAAACTTCAGTTTTATGGGTTAGAGCATGATATATCAGAAATGGGAGAAGGAATTAAGACTATTTCTTTACAAAAAATGAACAGGTAAGATATGGAAAGTGAAAATAACATCAGATAGTGAAAACTTAGATATTAATATATCTGAAAGTGAATTTTAGCCTCACCAGATGAAATGTGAAAGACATGAGAAAAAAGATAATTTAATATACATATCTGTATATTCTAGTTGTACCACAGGATACAGGAGTGTTCACAGGTGGTAGATCTACTGGAGTCTGTGGAGCGTGGAGAAGAAACACATTCTGTGCTGGGAATTCACTGGGATATCACACAACTTCAGGTACACTCGCATTGTGCTGTATCACAACAAACGCAATCTATAGGCACAACAAACACAATCAAATGGTGCAGCAAACACAATCAGGTGTCACAACAAACACAGTGTGGCAGACTCTTATCTTAGAATTACACTAATATATAACTTACTGCTACAGGGCAAATCACATTTAAAAAACTTTTTTAAGATGATTGAGGTGGTACAATAAACACTATATAATGTGCTCATATTTTAAAAACATTTGAATTTCCCATTCAACAATTTAGTGGTAAGGCATGTAATATAAAACAAAAACAAGTATCACATAAAACACAATGTAGTGAATCCTGTTTGAGGACATCTTGGGAAATCTCACAAGTACAGGTCTAGCCTCAGTGGGTGCATTTAGACACACATTACTTGGTCAGCCATCATACCTAACAGAATCTAGTGTTCCATCCAACACAATTGAATGTCACACCAAGCACAATCTAGTGTTCCATCTAACACAATCTAATGTCACACCTAACACAATCAGCTGTCCAACCTTCCTTTTTTGGTTCCAAACTATACATGGTGTATATTCATCCTTGTTATTATTGAACGGATGGAAACCAGGGACATTTATAGTATCTGTGTCATTGCAGGGGAAGCTGGATCTTTCTCGATTAGCAGTGATGGGACATTCGTTTGGAGGTGCCACTTGTATAGCATCAGCAGCAAAAGATAAAAGGTTTAGGTAGGTACATTTAACAGCAAGGGACACAATTACATATTTATTTACAGAGCAGTGCTTTAAAAATCAGTTAGGAACAAAGACAAGTGTTTCTCTTTCAAATTTTCATCAAAAATAATAATAATGTATCTGAACACAGTAACAAATTTGGTTGTAAAATTCAGTTTCTGTTTTTTTCTTCAATCAACAGCTGATATTGAAATTGTTGACCTCTAATATCAGACATCAAAATATTGGAAGTAAACAAATTCAATATTCCCCATTGTTTTCTCACAGGCTGTCCGTGGCTCTTGACACTTGGATGCTTCCATTAGAAGAGAACATTTATAAAGATGTGACGCAGCCGGTTCTCTTGGTGAATACAGAAATATTCCAGTGGAAGGAGAACGTGAAAAGCATGTTTTATTTGCAGTCAATTAATCCTTCAGACACAATTATCATCACAGTAAAGTAAGTACTTGATGTGTAAATGATTATTAATGTGCAGCTTTGAAAATCCTGGATTTAAGTGTTGAATTTTGTAAGCATTATATTGTTAGGTATTCAAAAAGGTATTATAAATGCTCACTTTCAAGGTGTAAGTGTGTAGTAGTACAAGATTGCAGTCACATTAAAAAGCTTACACAGCCTTTAATTCATAGTTTTCAAAGTTAAACCTTTTTATGTACAAGTCTACCTGGAGAGATAAACTTATTATCAGTCTGTTTGATATTTTATATACAAATATCCCTGGTGGTCAATGTGAATTATATGTTGATTTATTATTGAGATTGTTCTGTAAATATCTGTCATTCAAAATCATAATGGTGATTCAAAAATAGTTTTGGAAAATAAGCAGTATAAGCTATTATAATGTTGCTACGTGAGCAAGAAGCTACAGATGCTTTTAAAAAGTGGTTCAACTTCTTCATCAGTCACATCTGTGATTTTTCATCTTATAGGGGTACGTGCCATCAGAGTCAGACGGATTTTCAGTTTGTTGTGAACGCTGCACTGGGCAGGTTCTTTGAGCTGCGGCACACTTTGGATCCTTACATTGCCATGGAGATAAACAGCAAGTCTTCTCTAGGGTTTCTATGGAAACATCTCAGTAAGTGGTATTTTAGACAGGGGATACTGGGGTTGAGATTATCATATAGTCCTTCTTAACTGGTTGTAATTCATTTAAGTTGATACAATTTTATGACAAGGTTAAGTCAAAAGTTTATAAATGGAGTTACATTACAAATTCTAATATTTTTCATTAAAAAAGATGAATAAAGAAAAGATAAAGAATTAGAAGAAATTAAAGCAGTGTTCGCGACCTATAAGTTATCACTTTAGTAACTGATCAAAGAAAAATGGGAAGGAGAGTTTAATTTATGATGATATATTTTTTCAGACATTCCTGCAGAGACATATTATGAAGATATCCTCTCTGGAAACCATGATCTTGTGATAAAAGGTACCAATCTCAAACTCAGTTGAGCAGAAGTTCTTCCTTCCTTCCCATCATGCCATGCCTGCTCAAGATGATCTGGTGGCTAAGCAGATATACTGTCAAGAACTTGACTATGTGTGTTTGAGAATCAGATTGTGTGAGATTTGACAGCAGATAAGTCTTGATGTGAAAAAATCTGCAGTAATTCACTGAATAATTTGAACTAGATCAACTATGTTTATTTTCAAGACTGACAGACTCAGTGAAAGACTTGCTGAGCTTACCAACTGGCTAAATAGTTTGATCAAGTTATCATATGTCTCCATCAAGACAAAATTTATTTGATCTGAATAATTGAGCAGTTCAAATAATTCAGTCCATCTTTTGATATCGGAAAGTTGCTAAGCTCCAGCAATTATCTCGGAAGAAATCAAGACAGTAACTGGGTAACATATACTGCTGTTTCTTGCTCAAAAAGACTAGTGACACTGAACCAGAAGAGAAATGAAAAGTGTGATCATATTGTGAAGGAGCACCCAGTGTGTTAGGTGTGACAGCTATTGTGCTGGGTGAGATTGAATAGCCACACACAGCAGACTGACATGCTTTGGCAAAATCAGAAAAGCAGGGATTCACACAAAAATATACCGTTGTTTTATCACTTTAAGGAATAGCTTTTGGTATCAGGATGTGCCTTAATGAAGAAAAATTTGCCAAACACACAGATATAGAAAACTAAAGTGTGATAATATACATGTAACAGTAGACAAAACAGTTATAATATTTTATATATTGATACTTTTGTATCATTTTTCTAGCTTTTTTTGCCAACACACTCAAAAACTTTTTATTTGTAACTCACTGAGAAATTGTTTTTGATGCTTGTGGATATGTACAGCTTTTTATTTTGATTATTTGTTAATTTTAATTTTTTTATTTTATTTATTTATTATTATTATTATTATTATTATTATTATTTTGCTGTAACAGCTGCTCTTTCTACCTGTGTTGATATGGTGTTATTTGTAGTAGTGGTTTTTATGTCATGCTTGGTTTTAATGGCTTTTAAGGGCATTAATAGTTTGTGAAATAAGTTTTTGAAAATAGCATCTGTGCTTTATCAAGTATTTTAATAGAAATTGTGATATGCGCTCTCTTTTAATTTAGACTCAAGTTTTCTTTGTTTGGTTGTTGTATTCACAAACCCTTCATTTTACATACATGTACAACATGTAGTTGTGTTTTATCTTTTTGTGGCTAAATGCAATGTTTGAAAATAAAAAAAGTGATGAATTTCAGCTAAAGTGGTTAAGCATTCATTTGGCTGGCTATGGCATTGAAACAGTGTAATTTTATTTTAGCACTTTATATATATATTGTATTGAAACTGTTTTTCATGTATTTGCATTTCCCTTCAGATTTTATTCATCTTAAAAGATACTTAGTCATCTTTCAGACACAGTTACTGTGATACAGAATATTAACGATCTGGATGATGTGTTATATTTGAAGAGTGTTATCCTCTGATTGGGTACATTAGGATGATTAAGGTCATGACCTTGTTAAGATTCTTGCCTTGTGGCAATTTAATTTTTTGTAACCTTGGAAAAACTCAGTTTTGAAAAAGAAAAGACATCATTCTCAGGGCACATGTAGATATAGTTTAGTTCAGGATTTCTCAACTTGGTAAGGTGATGTCGATAAGAGTTAATCTTAGGAAAAAATTGAGTTGATTAAGATAAAATTAATTACAAGAGAATTTAGTGAAAATTGAGGATAAAATAGCAATGATAGAATGCAAAAATCGTACTCATTAGAATTTTATTTAGAAAATGTATTTCTAAATAATTGAAGATATTTAGCTGTAATATGGGCTTTTAGTCCACGTCAGAATATGTATACGATCTCAATTTGGCTTGTACTCCAAGTAGCGCAAATCAATGCAATGTTATATGTTTAATTAAACCTTTCTTTATAACTCGCATATTTTGATTTTATGATAGTATTACATATTAAAAGATCGGGCTTCCTAATACATGTACAGCTTCCAGTATGACGTGCCGATAAAAACGTGACTGATTTTGTGGTAATTATTTACAAATTTCAGAACATATAATAATTCAACATGTAGTCTATGTATATCTTCAATAATTCTGAATAAACCAGCTTGTTCATTTCATTTTGCCAACAGCGTTGCCAATATTTTCTGCTTGCGTATTAATTGGGCCTATGTATTTTAATTGTTTTGTTAAAGTGAAAATGGGGAGGGAGTAAAGTTGGAAAATAAATAGATTGAATGGAAGAAAAAAAAATTAACTCGTACTACACGATGCATAATGTTTGGAAGATACATCCCAAGTGTCAGAGAGAACTAAAAACGCGGTCGTCTCTTTAATCGAAATGCCTCTACTGTTTCTGTCACGTACCTCAGTGCAAATCAGAAGTTTTGCCTTTCAAAGTAGGCCCGCTAAGAATTCTAGTAGGCCTATTTTTTTTATTTGACAGAGAGATCATTCTTCAGGTCATATTTTATCCTGTGCGATCTTAAAATGTTGCTCTCGGAGAAATAAATCAATTTATGAAAACGGGAAGTCTACGTGGACGGGTAGGTGCCCAGTGCGTTTGATACTCAGTCAAAGCCCCTCGACTAGTGCTGTCGTATTCACCATGAGCTGAGATGATTTTTGCTCCCTTTTCCCCTCAAAAACAAACAACCACTACACTAGATGCATCAACACTTCTTATAAACAAATAAAGAAGAAAAGGAAAATATACAAAAGCCGTAAAAAGATCAAATCCGTATTGTTGTTCATATCATGGAAACTGAGGCGAAATATCAATGCAAGATGGCGGTTCGTCAGCTTCTTCGAGACAAGAGTTATCTTTATGGGCCGATTTCTCCATCAAAAATTACCTTTTACCGACTACTCATAATACATCGGCTCTTACAATATAGACCTCCAATTCTTTGTAGTTTTCATGACATATCAAATCGCATAAAAACAGTGAATTAATAATTTTATTCATAACAACATTGAGCGGGCGTAGCCGTGAAGTGTGTTTCTTGCGTTACTTATAAATGAGAATTAAATCTTTGAAAAACTCTCTGGATGTTTGTAATGATTACGCTATAAAAGCTGTGAATGTAGTTTTTCGTATTAATGAAGCGTATAGTTCTTTTGACCTCTGTTTACTGCATTATGCACTATTTAATTGAAGGATAATCGAAAACCTCTCATAATATGATCTTTACTTTTCAGTTTTATGTAGAAATTTACTGGCAGCATTGCTTCAAAACTTGTCAGAATACAAAGAAATATATCTACTTTTCTAAAGCACGTGCATTAGTGTGGCGCGTGCTTATTTTGTAAGAGAAATACACGCTTTAATACCACAAACAAACACACATCGTCATTTAACGCGTCCTCATGTTGATTTTCTCCTGGGTCAGGCGTGGTGTGTTCTCACAGGTCCGCGCTCAGGCTCTAAATTTAGGCGCATTAACTGGAGCGCCATTCAACTTTTACTACGTTAGCAGTAAGAAGTGCAGACAACCTACGATTCATTAAGTCAAGAAATGGCCGACTCCGCCGCACCAGCACCTGCGAAAAAGGCTTCCAAGGCAAAGCCGAAGGGGCCAGCAACTCACCCTCCGGTAGCCGAGATGGTTAACGCCGCAATCGCCGCGTTGAAAGAGCGCGGGGGTTCTTCTCTCCAGGCAATTAAGAAGTACGTTTCTGCTCACTACAAAGTGGACATGGTCAGAATCGCCCCGTTTATCAAGAAGTACCTGAAGAGCGCCGCAGCCGACGGCAAGCTCGTGCAGACCAAGGGGAAAGGGGCCGCCGGTTCATTCAAACTGGGAGCTGCCGCGAAGAAGCCAGCCGCTGCCAAGGTCAAGAAGCCCAAGGTTGCCAAAAAACCTAAGGCTGAGAAAGCAAAGAAAGTCAAGAAGGTCAAGACGCCGAAAAAGGCCGCTAAGAAACCAGCGGGTGAGAAGAAGGCAGCTAAGGTGAAGAAGGCCAAGTCTCCAAAGAAAGCCAAGGCTGCAAAACCCAAGTCTACCCCGAAGAAGGCAAAGTCCCCCAAAAAAGCTGCCAAGAAGGCCGCTAAACCGAAGGCGAAGAAGTCTCCCAAAAAAGCTGCCAAGTAATCCTGCGGTGTTCAAATTGTCTTTGAACAAAGGTCCTTTTCAGGACCACCCAAATATCCCAGAAAAGCTAGACCAAATGTTCGTCCAATTTGTTAAACGACATACCGATTTGTCGTCCCTTTCTCACTTCTCCCAGTAGAAAGCATGTTCAAGTGAATTAAAACGAGTTAGAAACGCAATTTTAATGTCACCAAATGTGTCTAAATTTAGATCGTTACTCGAATTTAAGAAATTGGAATGTGGAAATTAAAAAAATGTTCACCATGGCTTGTATGGCCAGTCGCAAATACGCCCAATTAAAAGGATATCAACTGTTCATTTTGGCCAAAAAATGAATTTTCCTGGGGTAAACGACAATTTTACCATACTAACCAATGGTTAATGAATCCATTTCTAACATTCTAAATTTTTTAAAATAAAATCAATTAGGCGACCATTACAGAGTATAGCGATCTACATAATTTATTCCATTCATTCTTTAAAAAGTTAACTAGTGGCATGAAAGGAAAGTTGAAAGATAAAATAGAATTTAAAGATGCATACAAAGTCAATTTTTTTGCCACAAAAAATGACCAAATACCAGCATATAGGTTCAATTAGGGAGAATTACCGAAACCTGAAAATGATGTTTGAACGGATTTTTCTGCTAGCAGTCTATGCTGTATGTCAATGGGGCAGAAAAATAGGTCACAAAAGTAGGTTAAATTCCCTACCAAAAATTTAAAGAAAGGAGCAGTCTAAAGCTCTTTTATGGCTGATCGAGTGATCTATTCAGTTTATCCCTTGGCATATCGAATTTATTTGAGTCATATAAGAAACTAGTAGAAGTTGTTTACATGTGTTACTCGGAATCCACGCTCCACTGATGCTCGGTTCGTATGTACCTTTAATCAAACAAGATTTGTTGATATTACTAGTATCTCCATACATGTGTTGTAGTGAAATATGATACTTTTATTAAAAAAAATGGTATATAAACCATAAAAGATGCATTAAAATAGGTCTGTGTCAAGTATCCCGTACCATATGGTTTTTAATTCAATATCACGCACGATGAAAAAGTGTTTAAAACTATTTTTTATTTTTTACAAATTTTAATAGAAATATAAGCAAAACTTTATTGAAAGATGACAAAAATTGAATTTATATATATATAACTTTGCCTAAGGTCCCCTTTTCGATCATTTTCCGATTTCAGGATTTAACCCCCACCCCACCCTAATTTCTCCCCTCCCCTCCCCCTCCAACTTAAATAATGACACGTCCCTTGGACTGGTTTACCTAAATGACAACGCATTTACTAAGTACGATACATATTTTCCTTTATTACAAGAAAATATATCGTTTTTATATGATATGAATTAATTTCATCCTGACAGGTTATATATATATATATAAAAAACTTCTATTCTTCAAAAAGTAAAACGACTGCATGCTTGCAGGCAACACGTATTATTTGTCATCTTGTGACAACACAATTCGTAATCTCACCTGGCGCATTGTAAGGTTAACAAGACGTATGAATACTTTTAGCCTGCTTCATAAAAGTATAACAATGAGTTCCTTGGTTAATGTAACCTGAAAAATCGGGTTGTTTCAAAATACATTCCTATCAAACAGAAAGTGGATGACGGGGTGGGGGGGTGGGGGTGGGGGGTGGGGGGGGCTTATACCCTACCTGAGGTAGTTTTTACGGCAATTTTGTACACAAAATAAACAGAGACCTCGTCGAAAAACGATCATATAGTCCTGGTAGAGGGTAAGAGGCATATTTTAAGGTGGTGTTTGTATATAAATTGTAATGCATGTTTAGTTATATTACATTATGCGAAATTATTGTGTTCGGCTGTCCTCTTTTTTTGTTAATCACACAACCTTCAAACAATTAAAAAAAAAGGAAGGAAGGATCATGTCGAGATAGCTGCCATCGTATACCCTGAAGGAGAACAATTTCGTGGGCCTAACATGGCCATATTCCCTCCCTACTTTTGTGCTTACCCAATTAAGTGATCAAAAATGCGCAGGAAATGACTAGAAATTATCACCCCAGTCAAACTGTGACCATTTTGACTCCATTATAACTTAAATCTTGTCTGTTTTAAAGTTTGTTGTCACACGTAGCATTTTCTCTTTCCCTCCGGAAAATAAATAGTTCTATTAGTTAGGAGGAGGGGAATCTGGCTCCCTGACACCAATAACTGCGAGTGCGATTTTTGCCGGAAGTGAAGTGTACGCATTTCGAACTTCCGCTATGGTTTGTGGAAGGGGCTTGTTGGCTGATTCCGGAAGAAGAATCGAAGCAAGTCCACCAGATACGGATATCACACCGAAGATGATGAGTGGCAAAGTGCTCTTACTGCTGAACATGTTTTGACCTTGTAACTCACGCTGTAAGGAATTGAAGAAAGATTGCGTATAGTAAGCAGGGTTTTAACTTTATGTATTTATTATGCCTTTTCGCCTTGTCATTTTACCCCCACCGCTCAACAGTCGCGTTAATTTTTTAGCTAAATTGTAAGCCAATCGCCATTTGGAATTTGCTTCATAGGCGCTCCATTTAATACTAAAGGAAACAGAATTAATACGTATATATATATATATATATATATATATATATATATATATATATATATATATATATATATATATATATATATTTTTTTTTTTTTTTTTTTTTTAAATATAAACTTTATAATGAAATAGATGCTGTATAATAAGTTTACCTACCACTATAACAGGAGCTAGAAGACTAAGCATTTTGCAGACAAATATACTTGTGGATAGTCCTGCATTACGCATGACAGTGGGGTAAATCTCTGCGCCCCATATATATATAATGTTGTATGCGACGGTCACGGAAAACTTGGCGACAATAGAAAGTGCAATGCGTATCCAGTGGCCTGTGTGTTCATCTGCAAAGGCAACTAAAATTATTAAAACTGGCGAATTAATTTATATCTCATCTGAATAGAGCAAATTCGACTTATATGTAATTGCCATACTGTAGAATTGTTGCGCTCTAGAGACTGGCCATGGCAGGAACATTTGATTTATGTGTGAGACAATACACTATTCACCCGAGCGATATATGCCATAACACCTCGAGCGTCAGCGATAGGTGTTCATGGCATATATCGCGAGAGAGTGACAGTGTATTATTTCACATACATACCTAGAAAAAATACAGTGATTTCATCCTAAAACACCCCTAAAACCTAATAAAATGACCCTATATCACACTCTAGAGATGTTATACGGAATAAACTCGTCCACGTGCGCTGGTCACCTCCCGCCAAATTCTTACGTAATGTCTGACCAATTTGGTCAATTTTTTGCTAAATAATTGTCTTGGACATTCAACTGGCTTGGAAAGTATTTAATCAACCGTCGACACTGACCATCCGCGTCTCATCTGAGCCACACCTAGCTGGGACTGCTGCCGGTAAAAGGTCCCAAGGCAAAACCTCTACTTTTTAGTGACATTTCTGATAAAAAAGTAGCGTCGGACCGGAATATAGTCAAAATAATTTTTCACAAGTGCAAAGGAGAAAGAAATTTACTTTTTGGTGATATTTCTTACAACGAGGCAGTTTTGGAATAAAGTCAAAATCGACGGACGTTTATTACAAGAGTTATAATTCTAGATTTGTATTGTTATTTCTGACGACGAGGCGATTACGGAATATAGTCAAAATCAAACGGATGTTTATTTCAAGTCCACAGGAGTAATAATTCTACGTTTTGGTGACATTTTTTACTACGAGGCGGTTTCGGAAAATACATGTGTTGGTTTTCAGAGCATTCATGTGCTATATGTAATTACAAGTTCAAAGGGGGAATACATTTGATTTGACCGATATATCTGATAAACAGAAAGAACGAACAGCTCAAAAACAAAAGGTAAATAACACAACCCTCATTAAAAAGTTATAGATTTACAAATAATTTGTATGCACGTGTGGCTTAAATGTAAACTAATTCCCGATTTCAAATCATGTCCATATGATATGACTTAGTGTAATAAAATGATAAATAATAATTGTTAAACGTGAAAAGTTTATGGCGATTTTTTAAGAGTGAGAGAGATTTTAAATTTGTCTAATGGTAGGTATATAACGTAAGCAACGTCACTATTCTCTTGATGCCAAGAAGGTCACATGATCACTCTGTCTTTGGCTTTCAGTATTTAAGAGACCTCGACCGATTTAATCAAGATGTAGTCGTAAAATTCTAGACTACATCGAGGTTAAGTCCGAGTTTTCTGAGAGACGCTACGCAGAAATGTCGAGTGAAGCGAGACATTTTTGGGTAAGGGCTTGAGGTTGCCCTCGATCTTCACTGAAGTTTGGCTAAATGGACAGGCTTCAGTGATCATCATATCGCCACGGTCATATAACATCCCTAGGTATGTATTCCGCAAAAACATATACATGTTACCAGACGAATCACAGGATAAATAACACGTCCTCTATCTATACAATATTTATAATAAATCAGCCAAAACTAAAAGTTTGAAACTTGCCTTCGCCTGTATAAAGCTCCACAAACGTTGTCGACAGACACAACATGCCACACAGGACCATTGTCAATACAAAGGGAATCTTTCTGCCGTATCGGTTGATAGTAAATAGCACACAATTGGCGGGAAACTCAATCAGACCAACCAGAAAATAGTTGACGAAGATGCTGCCTTCAATATTGCCGCTGTTTAATGAGATACCGAACCAAGTGGCCTCCACTAATCCCCTGTAATAAAACCACCATGTTGTAAAGCAAATCGCATGTTCTAACTAAAAAAAAAACGTTTTGTTTAATATTTAAATAATATGTTCTATATCACTTTTTAATTATTGTGAATTTCGTTTCGTGTTTCAGGAATCAATAGTACAAAACTGTGAAAATATTGGGGTAAGTCAAATTATTCAAATATTACCCAAAATCTGTGCTTACAGTGACGTGACTTAAATGTTCCCCTTTGTGGAATGGTTCAATCTGGGTGGGAGGTGTGGGGAGGGGGGCGCTAAATACCCACCAAATCAATGAGAGGAGCACCGTATGAAATACCAGTCGAGGCGTCTTCCACAATTCCTTGAGTATTCCGTTAGACTTCTGTGGAACGGCGTCGACTTTCAGATTATCAAATATATCATAAGACTTAATATGGCGGCCGTTCTGACGAGCCACTCTCTTGGCGACTTGTTTTGCGTCCTCCTTTCGACCTCTGGACAATAGCCATCTTATGGATTCCGGCACAGTCCTAAATAAGACAAACAGTAAAAATAAATAATTAAAGAGAAAAATAAAGGCAGTAAAACCTTATTTTAAAATATTTGGAATCCCGCGTTTTCTTTTGGTTGAAATTGCAACCTTTCTCCAGAAGAATTGTACATGTTTGTCCTGTAAATGTCATCAGCACTTTTATAGTACTCTTTTTAGAAACTGATCAATTCAACACCTGATACACAGTATAGAATCCAGATTTTCTTTATTTTTGAAACCCCATACTATTTATCAGATATATTGTAAAAAAAAATAGAGGTGAGAAACTACGTACTGCTTTCTGAAATAACCTGTCGCAATGAATTACCAGCATTCCTCTACATTGTAGCTCGAATATGGCAAAAGTTTGACTCGATCAGTAACATGCCGTGGTGTTCAAAACAAAAGATATTACTTTAACTAATGTTTTATAAAAAAAGAAATATAGAAATAATGCTCTTCGAAGTCTAAGATGCTTTCTTTCTCTACTTAGGCCTATTGTAGGCGAATTTCAGGCGTCCTTTGAAGGTCACCCTGTCCCAGAAAGTGCATGGAAGCTTTTCAGTTGCAACCTTCCCCCCCCCCCCCCCCCCCTTATTCAGGGTGACTGTAAGCAAATTTAATTGGACGGAATACATACCGTTATTATTANTTTAAAAAAAATTTGTCATTTGCCCACCCCTATTTATGGTATATAGATAATCAGCGTAGAGGGAGCTCTCCATAAGACTTACCACGTGTACACTGCAAGCAGTAAGGCAGGTGCAGTTATCGCTGCCTGTAGATAGCGCCAGTGTCGGAGGGCGTAGGCAATACCAGAAGTCCCGCAACTTCCAGCGGCAAAGAAAAAATGCATGATGATCCCGGCGAACATTCTCTTTTTGGGCCCTACGACTTCCATTCCTGGAGCAATTGATGGGAATGTAAATACTCACCATTAAGATATTTTGCATGATAAGCGAGAAAGAACAGACCATACCCAAAATACCCCGACAACAAAATATATGGGCTACTTAATTCTTTTTTTTTTTTTTTTTTTTTTTTTGATGTTTCAAAATTTGCATCAAAAGAACACCGGAATTATCAATTCATCAAGAGTAAGCAGACTTAAGCACTGTCTATGAGGAAACGAAGAAACAAAAAAGAAAGTAAAGGCACGTTAAAGATACCATCTATGAAACCTTGGGCATTTTGCTTCGAAATGAGACGGTCCGTTTGAGCAAACCATATGACGTCACTTGCAATCCATATGACGTCACCGGCAAACCATGTGACGTCAATAGTAAGCCACATTTATCCGTATAGTGTCAGTATAGTAGCTATCAGCTAGCACTTACCAAATGAGAACGACGTCGTGTATGCCCCGCTGGAGGATGCTCCGATAAGAAACTTGAACAAGATCGCGGTAACGACATTTGGCGAAAATGTTGAAGCCAGCCCAGAAGCGCTGAGAAACAGTAAGGCACAGCCCAGAGCGGTTCGACGTCCTAGTCTAGAATAAATCCAACGCTTGCAAAATATAGTTAGGTGTTTGTTGCACTGAGAGCAATACATAAAATGTAAGCGTGAAATTCTCTAGGCGTCGTATATCAGCCAGATATCTACAATGAGTTTCTTGAAGCCTTCCATTTGATGTGATGTAATGCCACCAATGACTAGATATACTTCGTATGTTATTGTTAATTATTCACTTTCTTCATATCTCATTTCAATCCATTGTCTTTTTTATTTCAATCTTTAAAACGTTTTTAAAAAAGGACTATGAAAGCACAGTGTTAAGCCACTCCTAAGGGAGTGTTTTTTCTTTTTTTTTAGCAAAATGCTGAACCCACCTATCTGATAAAAGACCTATCCCGACATTGCCCACTGCACTCCCGATCAGAAATATTAATGACAAAAGAGTCACGAGGCTAGCGTCGTCGCAGACAAGATTGAACTGAAATAAATTAACCATACATATATATATATATATATATATATATATATATATATATATATATATATATATAAAAGAAATGTGCATGAAACTATGAAAAAAGATGGGAAAAGGAGTCTGACAGTGCAGTAGTTTAGTCAGGAGAAAACATAAGTGTAAACAGGCCTTTTTTCTAAAAATGTGGTCCTTTCGTGACGAAACGTTAGTTTACCTAGATCAAATTTACCCATAGAGGACCTTTTTCACCCAGAGTGGACCTCTTACCACTGGCTACGAGCATGGGAAATGCTCACGAGCGTGCGCGTGCGTATACATGTGTGTGAGAAAGTGTTTGTTGTGTGTGTGTGTGTGTGTGTGAGAGAGAGAGAGAGAGAGAGAGAGAGAGAGAGAAGAAGAAGAGGAGAGAGAAAGCTGTATGGGAAACAAAAAAGGCAATAAAAACAATCAAATGATATAACATAACAGCTGAGTAAGTACACACCTCGCTGGCATAAGTTTCCTCCACAACGCTGCGATCAAATTTCCATTCATTGCACTTCTCTCTGCTCCCATTAACAACGCTTTCACAGGCAGAAGACAGATTGCGGTGCTCGTCACTGAAAAAGTGCTGAATCTGTCCCGTCTGGTTACTGCCCGTGTCATTTTGGGGGGAAATACACCTGCAAGTTATGCACGCCATGGGTTAAAAACAGCCATTAAATTGCTATATGATATCTTGTTGGTCAGAATAATTGAAATAGCTTATATCATAGAAATATATATAACTGGAATCATCCGTTAACAGCTTCAGGTGCGTTAACTAGGAGTAGATGTCACCTGGGAGTGGGACGGGTGGGGAGGGGGTGGTAAGAATAAAAAGATATTATTATTCCATGCTCGGTTTGTATGCACGTGAAGACAGAAAGACGGTGGTAGGATAACGTTATCTTAACATAGGCTTTTTAATATCCTAGTGAATTATCTCAAACTTGAATTCTTTTGGAAAGGAATATATCAGAAAATATAAAAGATCAAACAGATTTTTCGTTCAGTTAGATTCCTTCGAGATAAACGATAATTCGAGCTATAAGGTGGCAATAGATGTAATAAGATCGAACCATAAACCAGTTTTTCTAGTTTTGAATACCTGATTTTTACAGTCAATAGTGAAATCCACCAGTTGGTATCACCACACTGAGAGAGCGACTGAAAACTATAAACCCAAAATTCTAAATTGGATGATGGATAATAATAAAGTAAATGCTTTTGGATGTAGTACACAGGGGTGACTGAGAAGTGTGTTCACGTAAAATAGGAAAAGCAACAATTTGCAATAGGGATCTATTGCTCATTGTTTGAATTCTGAAGTTATTTTGGGCGTACGATAAAGAGTAGGACAGAAATATATATATATATGGTAACGACCAATAAATACATACATTGCCACCTTTTACTTTTTTCTTATAAATACTAGTACTGTCATGTTAATACGTGTCTGAAACATAATGTTAAAGCTTTTACACGTTTTGTTTTCTCATCATCGGACTGGCCAAACAAGTACTTTTGCGTTCATCTTACAATACACCCCCTCACAGCCACTACCCCACCCCCACCCCCACCTACCCCCACCCTATCCAACCCCACCTTGGTCGTCAACTCACCTGTGCTCCGGTGTGTATCCCATAAACGGTACAGACATATATTGTAAGGAAGCAAGGGTACTACACAGACAAAACAGGGGCAACACACGGAGCTGGAACCTTCCAAAATCACCCATCTGTTCAAATATGTCGTCCAGTTGAGTTTGTTTTTCCGCCGTGACATCACTTCTTGCAGTGGAGGGTTTTTTCTTCTCCAATTTCTCCATGGTCTTTCAAGATATGTCGGACTATACTTTTTATCGATCTCAGTTCAAAATGAACGAACGAATAAGTTTGCGCCGCCGCAAGCGATGTGGGAAATCTTGGGCAGCTTCCAGATAACAAGGCAGTCAGCAAATGCCACTTGTAGCGCAGATGTTTGGGATTTCAACCCCATTTACCCTTGGTGTTTTTGCCTATCTTACAAAAATTGGCCAATCACTGGCGATCACTATTCGGTAGGCCAAACATTAAACCAATCAACGCGAAGTATTTCTCGCCTGTTCCACAAAACCCTTAAGAGTGCCGATTGTTAATTTTATTACGATAGCAGGTTGAATTACGATAGTGAGCAAAAATTGGCGATCCATGTAGGCCACTCCTGCACCCGTCTGAAACTAGGTCGTCACTCATAACCTGTTACATTCTTTCCTTCCTGAGCATGCATGATTTCTTTTAAAAAGATGTCGTAAATTGATATCCGTCGACGTTTCTACAGTCATTGTCCGGTTAGTGTCCAGTTGGACGTGGCAAACAAATTCTGGCCAAAACAAGGGCACCAAGATGTGACATATAGTTCATGGTCACAACAAATAATGGCCATCGGTGATACCTTGACATTTTGTCCGTTTTAATCTGCCTGACACCAAATATACCGGTAGGTATTTTTTTTCTATGTTAAAATGATGTTTGTCACTGTCTTTGTTTAAGAAAATAATGCCCGGCAGTATGCTAAAATATTTCGTCTTCATAGGCTTAATTTCTTAAGTCTTAAAAGTCGAAAAAAAAAACAGGTGACAGGTGTGATAGGAATGGTAGTCTGCTAGGAACCGTTGTCCGTTCCCCATTACTTTGTACAGGTGTGACAGGAATGGAAGTCAGCTAGGAACCGTAGTCCGTTCTTCATTACTTAGTACAGGTGACATTCGTCCCATATACTAACCCCAATAATCCGACTACCTTAACTTGTACTAATCATATTCCATTTCTTAGATATTCTTGTGAAACGCACTTTAGTCAGGATGGTAGTCCCAGAACTGACTTAAGACTTTCCCTGTAACAGGACTCAGGCGTCACCGCCGGGATGTCATCTTTGGGACCATTCCCACACCTTATCGTACCAACTGAGGGTCGATCTATCTCCGAGGGGATTTTCGCTAAATTGCAATCCACTTTTAAAGCGGCTTAGACATCTGTCATGCCTACGGAAGCTGCTAGGGGGTACTTAACTATCGTTTAACAGCTTCAGTAGGCATGACAGATATCTAAGACGCTTAACTGAAAGCAATTTAGCGAGAAACCCCTCGGAGATGGATCGATCCAGTTAGATCGATCTGGGTTTGGGAACCTAGTCTTCATAAAGGCAAACAATAGCACTGACCGTCGCGTGGGCGTTTATTAGCGGTGTGAACGAACTAAAAAGGAACTTTTGACGAAAAAATGTTAAATGGTGGCAGTGGGTACTCTTGACGTTTCTTTAAATATCTTACGCGTGAATGTTGTGATCTATTTATTTATTTATTTATTTATTGTTGGGGTGCTACAAGGCGCAGGCCTACTTCACAAAACACAGTCATGTCACGTTGACATGTTAACAATTGGGCTCACCGTCTTCGGTTAGCTTATTTTTCGGTTGTTTGTATCGGTTAGATAACTGACGGGCTTCCAACTGCATTCTTTGTCTTCGATGCATTACTTGGCAGGTCTCCGACTTGCTTTTAACAAAAGCAATTTCAGTACCAGTTTAGACTGGACCGGAGGAGCTGCAACTAACCTGAACAGCCTTGATAACAATTTCGTAAGTAAATGCGCCATGATATTTTTGTGTGTGTTCTGCAAGACCTTACATTGTTGAGGCAGTAAGTTAGGTCAACATGAATCACTTTGACGCTAATATAGTAAAATGCTTTCATATAATACCCTTTGGAAATATTTTAAAGGCTACTACATTTTTGACAATAAATCCAACTACTGGTATTAGTCATTTTTCGATTGTATAATAAAAAATAATACTACTAATAATAATAATGGTAATATGATTATAATGATGACGGTGATGTAGACAAATGAATGTAGGGCATATATAACGGGATTTGGTAGCCTGTCAGAAAAGTGTCTGGATCCGTTTCTGAATCTTCATACTGTTCCAAAATACACGCATCAGAAATTTAAGAAAACATTTGTTTCACCAATGGCCGACTAGTGCTTATTTTTGTCTTATTTTTATTTTAGAAAAACCACAGGCCCAAGCAGTCGAAAAGTACGGGATGACACCGATACACTCGTCCCATTTGGGATCATTTGGGCGCGACGGAGAAATCGCTTTGTTCAGTCCGACTTTGTTGCAACAACGAATCAGATCAGTTACGGGTTGCCTAACATCTGGAAAACAACAACTATAACAGCAACAACAACAACAAACAAACAAAATAAAACACAATCAGGTTCTTCTTATTTGATCCCTTTAGATACACAGGTTAGTAAGTAATAAATGGCAATGGTTTATAAGGAACAGAAGCCAAAGTATATTGATTTCATGAAAATATTATAACATGCTTCAAAAACCGGTCAAGATATATCTTTCTATATCGTTCAAGTGCCTCTTGGAAGATCTGCACCAATGACTGCTCTGCATGGACAAAAGTGCAAAGTGGAGTGCAAAAGTTACGTCAATTTCAAATCTCCAACTATGAAGTTCACAATACAAATAAGCGTTGGGAGCACCCAGTGTGTTAGGTGTGACGGCTATTGTGCCGGGTCGGGACAAGGTGCTTCATGAAAATATTATAACCTGCTTCAAAAAAAAAAAAAAAATAAATAAAAAAAATAATAATAATAATAATAATAATAATAATAATGATAAAATAAATAAATAAATAAATGAATAAATAAATAAAAAAATAAATAAAAATAAAAATAAAAACCCCGAGTAGGACGTATGGATTGGTTAGTGACATTAACGTTTGTTGCCAACCGGTCAAGATATACATTTCTACATCGTTCAAGTACCTCTTGAAGCGCATTCAGAACAGTGGACTAACACATCCGCGGATGAAATATGGCGACCCACTGAAAAGCTTGCCGCTTAATTCCCAATTAGACACTGACTAGATTCCCATCGGGGATTAGGCAACAAGCGTTCAAGTGGGTCGGCCATATTTGACCCGTGGATTTGTTAGTTTACTGTTCTGAATGCGCTCTTGGAAGATCCGCACCAATGACTGCCCAGAATGGTCTGCAGGCCAGTTCTCCAGTGACCCCCACCAACGACTCACCCACAGCACGGCTCTCTCAACACCTTGTGATTGCTGAAGTTGCGACAATTTCAAATCTCCAACTATAAAAGTTCACAATGCAATAGGTTTTAATTCATGTCGGGTAGAAGTTGGGAAACATTAGCGTTGTAGCTTTTCACCGACAGGGAATCACCAAATAATATTTATATATGAACTCTAAACAGTAACAGTAAAGAAAACAGTAAATGAAGACAGACATTTACTATGAAAAATATCTAAATATTAGTCATAATTTAATCTGATATTTTTCATTTTCGTTTAAAGTTTTCAATCTCTTGGAAAAAACAGTCTCGCCATCTTCAATTGATTTTCTGCGTGACTGGGCTAAATCAATTTGTAGTAGGTTAAAATAAAGAGCTTTTTCGCGTCGTTCGTTACACTCGTCCGTAACAACAAATAAGCGTAGTTCACGATGTAAAAAAAAAGGCCAGCGCAACTTAAAATTCTTCATACGCATCGTTTCACATCCTTTCAAGCTGAAATGAATTTTAACATAGGTTCCTTAATTTATCCAAACAATAGCAAGATGTCTATGTCGCAACACCTCTTTATTTGAGACTAAAAAGTGCTCATACACGCAATTCTATCATTAGACCAAACAAATCTGATATATTGTTAATCGTTTTATTTTCATATCCAGAACTTGACGTATTTTTGTTTAAATTTTGCTAGTACTATTATTATTTTACTTTATATCACTTTTAAAATTTTGGACATAACCCAATTTCTGATGTATATTTCCAAATATATTAGTTTAAAAAATCATTCTTTTTATCTGTGATTTTATCCAGTTGATCTCTGATTAACTGTTCTTGGTCCATTCGTGTAGGTAGGTTGTCCCCCCCACACACTTTTACATCAAAGAATGTAATATGCACAAGAACGAGGGGTGGAGGAGGGAGACTGAAGTGTTCTGGTACTTTTGGAAGTCAAATGTGCCCTTAAAATCATTTTAAACATATCTTAAAAGATATCACATCATATTCAAAAATTAATTGAATGTTTTTTCTGAATAGTAACACCTCTTCAACATGAAATTTGCTTCCCACAACATCTTTTAAGACGCGACTAAAGTGGCCATCCTTGTTTGTCTATTTCAACAGGTACAACTGCCCACGTATATCTGTGTCCTTGTGTGGATTACATCACAGCCATCACCCTGAAACCTTGACCTCTGTCAGTTGTCACCAGATGCCCATATTTTGGTGTCACGCTCCATTGTAACGCTCTTTTGTGATGCTCCATCGTGACCCTATTGTGACGCTCCATTGTTACTTATTGATCCAATGTCACGTAGGCTGATTTACTGATTCTGTATCACACTCACCTAATGGAAAAAATGTAAAAAGAAGAAAAAAGATAAAAGTATCATTTAACTAATATCTTATCTAATACATTACAAATGAATGAAAAATTGTGGAAGACAAAATATTGCATAAAATGGGTGTATGCATCTTTGCTGTGACTCAAGCGTCACTTTTTTGTGGAATGAATGAAAAAGAATGAAAGTACAAATCATATTTGACAATTTCTATTATTTATTATTCATTTCTTTATCTATCTTTCTATTTTATCACCTGCTCCTCTATGTTTTTTCTTCTTCTTTTTCTTTTTGTCATTCTCGGGATTAGCTTCAAAATATTTGTCTCGGAGTCTCTCCTTGTAAAGCATTTCTGGGATGTGAGCTGCATCAAGAAGCTCTGTGTCCTGAACATAAAATGTACACAATAATACGAATGAAGGAAGACAGAAAGTGTCCAACACAAAGTTTTCTCTTCAATTTTATGAATTTTATCCCGTGTCACTTCCATAAAATGATACCTTTTTTTTTTCCTTCCCTTTCTTTTTAATAATATTTAAGGATCACAGTACAAAATTTCTGACCCAGTGTTGCATTGAGTCACTGTTACACTGACCCAGTATATGTGAAATTTCAAAAATGGATTATTACATTATGATACTAGGGGGGCAAAAATTGGATATTGCTTGGAACTGTTTAATTTCGCAGGTAATACCTTGCCTGTTTTTTTGGGAGGGGGAAGGGAGGGGGGGGGTCATGCCCAAAGACAAGGGTGGGTCACGTCCACTGTATCCCCTGGGTCAACTTTAATAATTGTTACAGATGCATGACACGTAATCTTATCCCATATCCTTCCTTTTTTGGTACAGAACACACGTTCAAATAGAAAGCATGAGCTGAAACTGGCTGCATGCGTGGTTTTGTTCAGTATGCCAAGTTATACCTCTCCCATATACCTCTCCCTTACCTCCCTACATTTCTGCATAGTTATAAGTCGTCTGGACATTTTCAAGGTAATAGTCTGTTCACAATTAGAGATCAGTTTTAGACAAGGGTGGGAGGGGACCATCTCTTCTGTGTAACTGAAAAAAAAATTAATTGAAGTATTGATAGCGTCTCAAACTTAAACATATGATCAAAAAGCTTAGAAAAAAAAATTGGCAGAAGCCCACAAGAATACAAGACAATATGATTCTTTAAAAGCAAATTTGATCAAATATTTAAAAAAATATGTGTAATACTCACTCAGGTCTGTAAACAGGAAGCCAGTAGACAAGATGGCCGCCAAGTTTGAGGAACTTGGCCGCGAAGTTGAGGAGGTCTTTCACTATGTCCTGCAGCTGGTAGTCTGACTTCTGGCTCCCAGCATATGATGTCTGTCTACAGAATAATAACAGAAAATCTGATTTTGTGCTTGGGATTAGGTGTGACTTGATATTGTGTTAGATGTGAATTTCTAAAGTAAACCATTCCATTGAGTCTTTTATATACTTTTTTTTATAGCCATGAGTATCAATTTTCAAACTCTGAAATGTAAGTGATGCCCTTCAAGTTGGAAAATGAAGGCTTTCCCTGCTTGAAAGACATCATTTTTTTTCATCAAGACTTACTTTTCACAAACATCATGCCCCTTCTCTACCATATCTATATCTTCATCCTCCTGTGCTTGAATTTTATTTTCTGGGTTTCTCTTCTTGCTGTCTATTTTTACGGTGTATTCACGAATACCATATGGAGCTGGAAAATGGGGGTTAAATATGCTTATATTCCAAATGTTCCCTTTAAACATCAGATATTTACATTGTCACTTGTGATTTAAAATAAAAGAGTAAAAAGAAAGCATGACAAAATTAGGAAATTTCACTTAAAATTATACTAAACCACACTGTGTAAATAATACTTAAATCAGTTTAGAGAGAGAGAGAGAGAGAAGGAGAGGGCATTATGATGGCAATCTAACATCATGTACATTACACAAATAACAAATCTTCAAAATTTTAAAACTGAAATGTCTTCACCCCTGATTATACTCACGATCAGTGACAATGGCATCAAATAAGGAGCTCCGTCGCCACATAGCATGTTTTGAAGCATCACCCACTAGGACGTCCAGGTAGAGGTCCTCCAAACCGTACTGTCTCAGATTGGCCAGAAAATTCTCATCAGGACCTCGAAACTTCTTCTTGTGACTGCTTGATTTCCCTGTAACAGATGACTCTTCATAACAAACATTGCTAAAACCTTTAACATGGTTATCAGTATGCCTCCAATAAATACTATTTTTATTACTTTTTTTTCTAAACCAATGGTATGAAAAATTACTGTATTTCATTTTTTTATAACTATTTTTGAGCTCCTTTTAACTAGAGCCAAATGCATGTACCCGTCAGGCTATCGCAGTGCTAATATCTCAAAAGGGTACTATAAAGGAGAGACACCCCTGCACTTAGTACAACCCACACACCCCACAGTCAATAATTATAGGCAGTGCCACTTAAAGTGAGTAGTTTATTTCATACAGCAGACCTCACAGAAGCAAGAAGTAAGAATTTAGGAAGATCTACTGGTACAAAAGAGGACATAAAATTATTTGAACCTTACGTACAGTTACACTTGTGTAAACAAGCAAGTCAAATAAAGCATATGAGTACAGATATCCTCCTTTGTAGTACTCAAATCGTCTCCCGTCACAGGCACAATACAGAAAACTAATGCACTTCATGTAAAGAAAGAGCACATGATTGTTCTTACCAAATCCATGGATAATCTTGTAGTCTATGTCTGTGCCAGTGACGTAAGCCCCGTAGTGTGCACAGGCCACCAGTAGACTACCTGGGAAGGAGAAACTAATGAGTTATGTGTATGTTTTAACACATGAATTTTTTTCTTCTCAGTTCATTTGGCTGTAGCTGGACAGAGGTACCTTTTACTATATATGAAAGTGTATTAAAAAAAAGGCATATAGCTTTTTATTTGGGGGGGGGGGGGGGGGCAAGGAGTACAAAATTAATTAT